AATCTAAGAGATAGTTTTAACTACAATGACTAACTGAAAGGAGTTTACAAGAAAAATGTACCTGAAGCACTCCTGTTCACAGGAAGGAAGAAAAGTCTCCTTAGGAGAACTCAGCAACAAACTTGGCTATAACCATTTGTCCAGGGAATAGGACAGAGTGAATGCTCCTGTAAGAACAGTAATCAGACTTAGGTCTGGGCTTTTAAGCTTGAACCATTTCTTTAGATCTTCCACAGTCTTTTCTTTCTCATTCCACCGAAAGATCACAAAAGTAAATTCTCCTCATTCCCTCTTTCCATATCCTGCCAAAAATACACACTAAATGATAAAGCCCACTAGTGATTCATTACATACCATCAACTAAAGGTTTCCAGTAGAAAAATCATTTTAAATGAGTCTCTTCTATTTTATTAATGCTTAACAGGCATTTAAATAGAAATGATGGTGCCAAATGATTCTTACCTTATTGCATGTTAAAACCTGGATATCTCTGCATGGACAGGAGCAAAGGTACCAGCCCCTGGGGTTTTGCTCCATTCTCCTGTCTTTAGCAATGGGCTGAGCTGGGAATTACTGGACAACGTATTTCCCCCTTCCTCTGAAGATCAATTTCATTTATCCCAGTATTCTACTCTTCTCCTATTAAAAGAAGATTAAAGAAAGAAAAAGACAAAAAGGGGAGGATGTTCTGGTGAATGTTTTAATTTTGATATTTTATATTTAAGTATCTCATGTGGTCCTTGCCTGAAGCCTCAGTCTTCCCCAGAGCCTACATTCTAAGCAGTAAATAATTCATCTACCAGTCCGTATATGGAGTCAAAACTGATTGCTACAAGTCCTGGCCCATGTCAGTGAATTCATGTCTAGTGAAGACAGTGCTCAATTTGGGTTTGTTTTGTTGCACTCAGGAAAACCTCTAATGCGCTTTTCTTTTTTGAGATACCTATAGGAAGGATCTGGGACTTGGGCTTACCTTTGGGGGCATTTGGCTGTTATGAGGTGGCTTTCTCTGGATGTGTCCAGAACTAGAATTTCTAGTTCTGAGATAAGAGAACTAGGACTGTGGCAAAACCAGTTAAACAACTGGGCTGAATCTGTCAAGGTCAGGGAGGTGCAAGGCATATGCGTAGATCACAGGATTCAGGAAGAATGACGCATACGAACACTGTACCTGGAGACAATCAAGAAAGGGCAATTTTCAAATTTATTTACATCTGAGGTGAAGCCAAGAGAACCTTTCAATAGGATAGCTTAAATCTGGTTCTAGGCCAAAGGAGTTTTTGACAGAACAACCATCCCAATGCCCAATTTATAGGAAGAAGAAGCCAATTCAGGAACTCCAGATTCAAAAGACCCCTGTCCCATCTCCTCATAGCTGTTGTGAATCTATTTACTGGCCACTTTCACTCTGCAGAGAGTGCTTCTTTTCTACCTTCAATAAATGTAAATCCGCTCTACTTTTTCTGCAGGTGTGTTCAATTCATTGTTCAGGATACCAAGAACCTGGAAAGGATTCTGGGATCTACCATCTGCTAACATTCTCCTGGAGAGCCAGCTAGGAGATAAGATCGCCTTGGGGAAATTTGTTTTTCTTTCTCTCTTTTTTCCTGTTTTTTTTTTTTTTTTTTTTGGTCACTTGTTGCAGGCCCAAGTCAGATAAGTAAGAACCACTGAGCCAGTTTGGTCAACCTATGGCATGTGTGCCACAGCCAGCTGTCTGTTATCATTGGAATCTTTAAAAGCTTCACCATCGCAGAACTAAGATGTCTGCTACTAACCTGACCCTAAAAAAGGCCATTTTAGGCTCCTCCAGGTACATGAAAACTTCTCTGCATCAGGCAACTTCCATGTGTGTGTGTGGTCTAAAGTTTAATATGCCTCTTTTGCTCCCACACTTTTGTTCTTCTTAATCATTCTTTTGGGGGACAATAGCTATTGTAACTTGGTGTCCTACTAGAATAGGCACCTACCTCAGCCTGTCCTTATGTGCTCTCCCCGATCAGAGTTTCATTTATGTTTTCTCCCTTGATGGCCTTTTATCACCAGCTATTCTTAGTGGGTCACTTTCTTCAGGACCCCATTTCCTAAAACCTCAGGCACCATCCCAATTCACCTTACTGCTGTGTTTCCTAACTGTCCTCATGGACGCCAGGAAATCTCACTCTTTCAGGTAAGACCTATGGTTTCCTCTGTTGGAACAAATAGGCCTCCTCCTTGATAGGTTTTTTCAGGTAACCAGTGCAGCAAAGAAACAGGCAGAAGGAAAAACGGAAAGGGGCTTTAGTTTCTTTGAGGACACAGAATTTGGGGAAGATAAGAAATTCTCTGGATTGGAAAAAAGGGAGGCTGAGGTTTTTATGGCCTTTGTCAGGGTGGAGTTTGAAGGGGATATCTAGATATACCTGAGGGAGCTGATTGGGGGTCTTCCCTGACGTGGCAGGAAGGGTGAAAGGAAATTGTACCCCAGGCTGAATTAGAGAAGAAGCAGGGAGGTGGTTTTAGGGAATGTGGGCTTCTGATTTAAGGGCATTGGCCATATTGGATGACTACCACAATGCTTTTAGCAATTTATACTAGGGCCAGAACCTATCACTGCTGACATTTCTAAATCTGGGTATATGTTCTTGTTTCTTCTAACAAAAATTCAGGTAATTTGGAAACATGTGCCTGAAGCCCTGAGTGGAACAAAGGAAAAAGACAGAAGTCAACCCTAATGGTTGTCAGTGTGTGGAAGTAGAGCCTGAGGATTTTAGTCAATAGATAATAGTCCCTATCTTTGTATTCAGAGCTTTCCCAATTTTCTTAATTATCCAATAGATGCTTGCTGAGTAAATGTCGTAGGAAGGTTTAATGTGTGAAGTTAAAAGGGATTGAAAAAGATGGTGCCCAAATTCCTTTACGCTATCAGTTTTTTCCAATCTGTTCACAACTCTAGATCCATGATTTCAATGTGTTTCTTTTTAATGGCTTTTATTTTTTTAAATTTTTTATTTGTGTGTGTGTGTGTGTGTGTGTGTGTGGCCAGCTCAGCCTACCAGGGGGCGGAGCTGGTTGGCATGTGGTGCTGGGGGATTGAACTGCTGTCCCTGTGCTTTGCTAAGCTTGTTCTAAGTAGGTGCTTTAGAGCACTGAGCCATCTCACCAGCCCTCAATGTGGTCTTCAAGCCAACCTTTTCATCAAAATGTCCATCTGACTGTTGTACAACTTCCTTTATTAGCTGAGTTGGCATCTCACTTTCAATACAGATGCTCCTCAACATACTATAGGGTTGCACCCAATAAACCTCCTGTAAATTAAAAATATTGCAAGTTGGTAATACTTTTAGTACAATTAAGTTACCAAACATCCCAGCTGAGTCACACAGTACACTGAGGAGTACTGGTGTTTACTCCGTGAATGTGCAGCTGACAGGAAGCTGTGGCTTGTCACCACACCAAGAAAGGGTATCAAGAAAGGATAAACGAATATCACTATCCCAAGAAAAAACTGAAATTCAAAATTTGAAGTATAGCTTCTACTGAATATGTCACTTTGGTATCAGTGTAAAAGGAAAAACACATGAGTTGAACCACTGTTAAGTCATGTGCCCCAAATCAATTTTCTTTCTCATACAACTGTGCCACCTTTCATCTGTTAATGATATCATCCTCCCTAGGGAGCACTCCTGGCACCTGTCTTCTCTCTAAAATTCAGCCACTGGCTGTTCCTGTGGATTCCGCCTTAGAGATTGCCTTGCTTTTCATCATTCTGTCAGCTTTCACCAAATTCCTATGACTCTACTCCCCACTTACTCCATTCTAACTCGAGTGCTCTGTGCAACTCCCTCTCCCACTCCGATGGTGAAACATTTCTGCACAATGGCTGCAACTCCTGGGACTTGCTGCACAACGCCGGCAAATAATTAGCAGGTGTTCGACAACTTCGTGGCATGGCTGGGTAAAGGTTCAAATGTTAGGTTTACATTATTTTTAGCGGCATGAATCTTTATTTTGTGCGCCTTTTTTGGTCATCAGTCCTTTCATAGTAAAGGGAATAAGAAACAGTATTTTAAACACTACATATATTATTGTAACTCGGAGTCTGTTGCAACACTGGTTGTAGTTTTAATTTTAAAAGAAGAAAACATTTTTCCCCCCTCAGCTCCCACCTAAAACCTTCCAGGATCCAGGATTCCCACCCCTTCCAGTGGCCTGATGTGTGGCGGGGAGGAGCGAAGAGCAAGCCTGCCCTAAAGAACCGGGAGAGAACGGGATGGGGGAAGTCCCGGAAGTCATTGACCAAAGCGAGCGTCGGGCTCCGCGGGATCAGTCCCGGCGCCTGTCCCAACAATAACAGGCGCTGGAGCGGGGCGGGGGCCACCCGAGGCCGGAGCGTGAGGGCGGGACTCGGAGTGGGGGAGGCGGGTGGCACGCTGCCGAAGGCCAAAGGCGATTGGAGGAGGCAGAGAAGGGGCGGTGGAACTCAAAGAGTGGGCCGGCGAGCTAACGGGTCGACCGAGGCGAGAGCGTGCTGATTGGGTGATGCGGAAGGAGACGGACCGGAGAGGAGGGCGGATTGGCCAAAACTGGCCGGGGAGGCGTGGCCGGCGCGCGAGGGAGCAGGCGGCCGGCCTGCCTGCCAGCTAGTCAGAGCCGCGGGCGAGCGCGGCGAGCTTGGGTCTGAGCTGGGCAGGGCGCAGAAGGCGTGTTCCCGCCTCGCGGCCGGAGCAGCGGCTTCCTTCCCTCCCCTCCCCTGCGCTCCTGCCTGGGGTCTCGGGGCGGGGGTGGAGGGAAGGGACGTAGGCGGAGGAGGTGAAAGCGGGGTGCGGGGCGGAGGGGTCCCGGCCGGGCGAGGCGCGCGCTGCCTCGCGCTCTCTCTCCCCCGCCGGGGGCTGCGGCCCGGGGCGCGCGGGCT